CTTGAGTTCCTCTTTTGACAAAATCTGTATAGTCCTTGGAGACGTTGTCCTCCAAAAATCGATGGGTGCTAATTGTGCTCCTTATTAGCAGACCTATGAAGCAAAATTTATTCAAAAACTTATATGAGAACAAGAATTTCTTGCTGGGGGCTTAAAGTCCACATTTACATATATCGACAAAGCTCAATCAATTAACAAAAGTTACTTTCATTCATTTGTCGACTCGATATATCCTAGTGAAATCGAATTAAAAGACACCGCTGAGCCTGCCACATCTATTTCATACTTGGATGTTTTACTGACTCTAGATGATAAGGACCAACTAACAACTAAACTGTACGACAAACGAGAGGACTTCAACTTTTCCTCGAAATGTGAAGATAATGAACATTATTACATTTTCAACAGTGAAATACTGTGATTTATTTATTGAATAAAAGTGATATTCTCTCACAGTGTGAAAGAATACCAAAATGATATTCTCTCACAGGGTGAAAGGATATCAAAGTAAGTAAAAAATAATTTCTGGCCTGTCATAAGATAGAGATAGTAACTAACCATCTTGATAGAGCTAAAACTGCAAATTTCTTCCCAAATATGTTGCTTAAATCCATGCTATGTAATGTTTTCAATCACACAACTGCTAAGCTATGACGTCTCAACCGCTCAACTATGACGTCAAGCCTATGACACTGTGTTAAGAAAAGACAGAGGAAAAGGGAAAATCAAAGAAAATGTAATAAACAGAAAATTCAATGTTTTGTAGATGAATATGGAATTTATTTCACTCGTGAGACAGGATTTTTTGATATTTTCACGAGTGCGAAGAAAATCCTGTCTCACGAGTGAAATAAATTCCATATTCATCTACAAAACATTGAATATCCTCTATGTAATCATGCTATAAAGTCAAGTAAAACACTACAAATCGTGAAGAAAGAAAACACGGACTTGTGAAAACATGAAGGGTGGGATCAGGTACCATGGTAAAGTAATCATCTCCTGTCGACCGGTCCCATCCGCCGCGTGCCCTTTGTCATGATCGGCTAAACCGAAAAATTCATAGTAAATTCAGTATGAAAATAATGGCCTAAAAATTTGCATAAATGATGTCAATCAACATTGGACATAACGACAGATTGTATTTGTCATTGTATCGACCACAGAATTCGCGAAATATTAACTTTAAACGAAATTGTAAATACCCTTGTATCATCAACTTTGTCAGCGATCTTCGTTGTTTTTAGAAATCGTTCGTACAAAGAACATGCTCTTGCGTAGCGAAATTAGCGAATCAACTGGGAGGCATAAACCCCACATGCAGGTTTTAAACTGCTAATGGTATTTTGCTACATAAATAAGGGAAGTTGACGATAGAAAAGCTGAATTCATCAGATTGATCATAAAGTTTAGTTGTTAGTGTGACATTAATGTCTCTCTCCAGTAAAATATCCTAATACTTTAATATGAAGCAGACATGCAAGACTCCGTGGTATTTCTTATTTCGAGTTCACTCCTAGTGCCCTGTTCACAAATATGTATTGTATTAAAGAATTCTGAGATCGATCATTGTTTGTTTATTTTCACTTTTTTTTTTCATTTTGCTTGAAAATTATGGTTATCAGTATACATATACATATTTTTGTAAAGAAAATTTCAATTGATTCAACCCGTAATTGGACTTAAAAACAGTAGTGGAAAGGTCTACTTGTTACTTTCTCGTCAGTTATTTCACTTCTCAGAAAAAGTAAAATTAAAGTAACTCTCAATTTTCGAGCAGTATATATGAACATGATAATCTTATATTTTATTTAATGATGTTTTAGATATTTTTCCATAAATTTATGTTATACAGAGAAGATGTCTTAGATTTTTTTTTAATAAAGTATAATTATGCTGAGGCATACTTATTATTCTCAAAATTTGAAAGATGCAACAAATAAGAAACAATGTAAACAAATGTGACCATAAGCCGATATTAACAAATCTGACAAATCGTCAAATGTCCCATCTTTTTTTTTTAATCCTCTGTCCCATCAGTTTGTTGATCCCCTATAACTTTTCCGGAGCTTGAACCCGACTTCTTTTCAAATAAAACTAGACATTACCTAATGGCTATAGTGTCGAAATAGCAATCTACTCACAATATGATGCCCTCAGACAACCAAGACGGCCCCGAAAATAAGCGATATGATGAGGAAATTTATTAGAATAGTATAATTAAATTAGTATGATTACATGTAATGCAGACGTGAATACCAATTACGCTTCTGTATATATGCCACATGATTGTCTAGAAAAACTTGAGGAGAGAGAGAGAGAGAGAGTCTATGAAGACTATTTTTGATATTTCTGTTTCAAAAAAATATTAAAGTACAAAATAGTGTTTCCAAACCAGCTGGTGTTTACGTCTATCACACCACTACAGATTTGGCTGCAATATAATCTTTAACAACTATGTATCATCTAAGAAGGAACTCAGGAAAATGTCATGCTTGGACCCTCCAACTTTAACTTTGCCATTTTATAAAATATTTTAGACACTTTGTCAAAAAATTGGGATTGAATTGAATATTTATGTTATAGAAAAACGGTTACAAAAATTAATCTATTTCATGTATATTTCGGCAATGCATTGGGCATATTAAAGAATTTGAATATCTTTAGGCCAACATTTTGTTATTTTCTGTTTTACGGGATTTTTTTTTTTTTTTTTTTTAAATCTGACTCGGGGGTTGAAATAAAGATAAAAATAAAAGCTCGAAATTCAAGCAGTCGGTCAGAAAAATAAAAATAAAATGAAAAAATGCATGGACGGGAATTTTATATTTCAATTATGGCTTACGGAAATCATCTCATACATGTATGTGATGCTATATTAAAGGTGCAAGCAGTAACTCTAGTGCAAGCCTTTTAGAGTTTATTGAAAATATTTATTTATTATTCATTTATCACCGTCTTCCATGGAAGACGGTAAACAGAGTTTTACATTCTTCGGAGTATACACTTTCTCTCTTTTATGATTGATAGAAATTGCATGATGTGAAAATTTTTCATTTTTTCATTAGTTGAAATGCTGTTCTATGCAAGGGAGATAAATTTGCCTGTGATATAATTATCATACCACTGAATTAAATTCGGAAGATTTCTCAATCTTAAAAAAAAGACAAATGAACAAAAGAAAAATATAATTAATGCAATTAATAAAACTTGCATGTAATTGTTTTAAAGCAACTGCAAAAAATTGTTTCTATATTTTCACAGTTAACAGAAATTAATGTGCTTGCAAAAGTTACAATTTTGTTTTGTTTTTTTCATTTGTTTTGCACTGTTTTTGATATGGTAGGGTTAATGTCTGAGAAAAGCCTTTGCAGAAGACTACTTAAGATTAAACTTGATACAAGTATGTCAGTTAACTTTTTAAGGTTGTTACTTATGGCGGCAAAGCTTTTATAGAAAGGCGATACTTGTACATCTAAGAGTAGATAGTAATGAACTGGGCATTGGGACAATATTAGGCTGTTCAAAGTTAATTCTACGTTTAACGTCACCTCTAAAGTCCAAAACCTACGAGGGAGGGAGGAAAAAAAATAAACAAACAAAAATTTTAAACATTTGTGAATTTATTCAAATTAACCTATTCACTACGTTAAAAAAACACTATTGAGTCAGAGTAATAAGAGAATTGGATATGACATCTAAGTCTAATTTCTTAAGCCGAGTTTTTCCTTAGTATGTATATTGGTTTGAATCCTTTTGTGAGCAAACAATGTAGACTGAATGTACAGGAGTGTGGCTTGTAACTGGCCTCGTTTGTCCTTTGGATTTTTATTGCCACACGTCCATGGTATCCTGTAGGAAAATGCTTCTTTTTGTGGGAATAGTTGATCGATATCTACAATTAAAATTATGTTGACAGTATGTACATTGTACACTCTAAAATTGAAAATATCTAGAAATTGAATTCTGCTGTATTTTTACTCATAGTACTAGATCTACTAGCATTTAGTTTTGAAAGTGTAAATACTATATTTGGATCATAACTGTTAGATTATTTTACTTTGAATTCCACACACGACAGGATTCTTCACTTTTTGGAATACCCCAATCACTTTCCTTACTCTCCTTCGTTTGAAAGGTCCTATCTTCTGTAAGCTTCTCCCTGCTCAAATGGCAATGACTAATATTATCTCTCCCTAAAATTGTTGCACTTTGTAGGTACATGAATGCTACATCTATAAAGAAATCAATAATCTTAATGTTCCTTTAACTTTTTACAGAAATATTTTAAGATGAAACTATTAAATAAAATTTTAATGATGCATCTCACTGTATATTACAAAATCTTTGTTTTTGACATACTTTGCACTCAGTAAAAAGTTTTGCAGTCCTCTCCAAATACAATGAATAGTTCAGCCAACATAATTACGAACTGAGAGTCTGTGATACGAAGACTGATAAAAAAAACTCAACAAACTAGACTTTGTCATTAACTTCAATCATAAATTAATCTATTTTTTACTTACATTTATGATCCCATACTGTTTAATTCACTAGTTTTCTTTTAACAGTTTAATACGACACCAACTGCAGCATCAAAGCACATTTTCTGTCACTACGGGATGCAGAATTAAGTCGCTAAATGTAGAACCAAACAGGGACGGATATATGAAATTCCGAATTGTTTGTTTTTTTCAAAGACGGATTTCTCCTAAACCTACGCGCGCGGGTGACGTTAAACGTAGAATTAATTTTAAACAGCCTTAGCTGCTTGGTGGACCCGTATAGCTGAACTACATATGTATTATCAAAAGTCGAATGAAAGAGACATTATTATACTCGCCATTCGGCAATATTTTCTCTTTATCAAAAATAGAAACTTATTCTATTTTCCATGGAAATTACACAGATTGTAAAATGATAAAATTGCAGGTGACGTCTGAAAATTCTGAATAATTTTGGGAACGGTGTTCTATATCCACGTGGTTCTTATCAGATATAAAGTTACCTTCTTCGATTTCTCTTCCACTAAGTTAGTACAGAAGAAAATGAGAGGAGTACTTATTTGTCTGGGTGTCGCTTGTACTTTGAGTGTGGCATGGGTAAGTAAGAAAGATTTCCCGTCTGACTATCTCTTTTTTTCTAAGAGAGACATCAGACATGATAAAGATTTATGTTAAATTATAAGTAAGGCAAAACGTTAGTAAGAAAATCTCCATTGGTATTTGTTAGAGATCATTCATAGAGTATTTTAAATAGATATATCACCTGTCGAGCCATATGTACTACATACATCTTGCATTCTAAGTGAATTAGAAGTACTAGTGCTTTCCAAAAAGGAGAAAAAAAATCCACAGTCATTTATCAAATCAAAACAATTAAACCAGAGCACCATAAAGCAGTGCGTCCCAATTCTGAGAGAACAAATTATCAAATATGGAATCAATATATTCACAGTATCGTACTCGGTACATATTTTTCATTGCCTTTGATTATTACTTTGGCTTTCTTCTCTTGCCAACTGGAATTTCTATATCACGATCCTGAGTGGCCACACGCGAATCCTACAACTGTGTAGTGAAAACCACTGTTTTTGACCTTACCTTAACCATTTGTCTATAAATTATTCCCCTTAACCTCACAGTAACTCTAGCAAATGAAAAAAGTGAAGATAACGAACAGTGTCAAATCTCTTAAATCCTATAATAATACAGATTGTGAATCTGGAAACACCAGAGGTGGGATCAGGTCCCTAGAAGGAGTAAGCATTCCTCTAGACCGTTTGCAATGAAAGGGTATAACACGATAATGAAATGTTGAAATGTGTTCTTAAAATTGGGTATACATTTTAAAGCATGTTTTTTACTCGACCGTTGGAACTGTCCCTGCATTTAAAAGATTTTTTTTCCTCCTGGACATTTAGCATCTCTGTACTAACTAGTCTGAATGGTTAAATAGCACCCGTACTCACTGGCGGATTTAGAGGAGGGCCCAGGGGACCCGCCCCCTCTCCTTTTGTGTCCAAAAGATACATAAGATTTAATAAATCAATTTTTTTTGGTGTGACTGTGGGCCGCTACCCCGACCCCAAACTGGTCGGGCCCCCCTTTTCAAGATTCCTGGATCCGCCAATGGTACTGCGTGTGCAACATTGAGACAAACGGACAGAAAGACATTTAAATGCTGACACAAATAAAAGCAGAGACTTGTTTCACTTTCAAGTTTTTCCGAGGATGAAAATACATGTAATTAAAAAGTATTTTGATTTATTTCCATAGGCCGCTACACACTGCATGACTAATGCTGAATGCGGAAGCGACGAATGCTGTTTTAAACATGATGGACCATATTTGGTCAGTAAGAGAAAACGTGCCTCCGGAGATCTCCTTGGTCCTGTCATGCACATGTCCAGTGGTTTGTAATCATTTCCCTATAAGATGCAGTGATAAAAAATACCATACACTATTACGAGTTCATATAAGCAATTTTTTTTTGCATAGAATTTTTTCTTTGAACGCCTAGGTGTGTGTGAGAAATTTAAATTAGAAGGAGACCACTGTTCCTGGCTAGACACCGCTAATGGTCACTGTGGGTGCCAGCCTGGACTTCAATGCCGCTTCGTACAAGATCCCTCTAAAGTCCTCGATCCGTTTTTATTGTCCAAACGTGGAGGTGTACCCGGCACTGTACAGTGTGCCCAACCCTTAATCACGACAATGTTACCATGAGCAAAACATAAATCATTAAAGCAAATGGATTTTTACCATTGTGTTCTTTTTTTTTTTTTTTACATGCTTTAACAATCGATATGGAATCGTCTATATAAATTATGATTTTTTTTTTATAATTGCTAGAATGAAAAGCATATAATTCAGTCATTCTATACTACATCTTGTGTTTGTTATAATGGTCCACCTAGAAAGTAAAATAGAAACCATGTAGGTCATACAGGGATCACAGAATGTATAGTCTACATTGAATTTGAATTATTCTCAGAACCCAAACAATGTGCATTGTGTTTCATAGAGTTTTCTGGTAATCAGTAAAAATCGGCTTTATGACTACTTGATTAGTAGTCACAAATTGATGATTTCCTATTAACAATAATAATTATATAACTGATTACATAATCCTTTGTTGTAAGGAGAAAAAATCTTGCTTTAAAATTAATGTGGTTTGAAAGATCATACTTTCTTATTAATATATTTGTTTTACTTTGGAGGTATAGTGAAACCCAGAATGGAAGCAACAGAATATTGCAGCTGTTTTCAAAATTAATTGATCAAATAACGATACTTAACTTTTCAAAATCATTCAGTTACTTTCTAAGACTTTAAATAAAATGTCGAAAGCCATCTTTAAAAAGACACTACTTACCTTTATAAGAAACTTATTCGAGCTGCACACCTTGTACACTTTAAGGGGAAGAAGGGCACATGGTCACATGACTCAATTTGACTACGTCATAGAGTCTGATACTGTAAAACATTAAAATAATCACTGTAACGATTTATAGCTTTGTCTATACCGGATATGCAAGTCGGCCTTTGAGGATCTGTTAGTGGCTGAAGCAAATCACGTGACCTAAAACAAAGGTATATAAGCGAGCGCAGCTAGTCTGCAAGGTTATTTTGAGTCCAGGTAGCAGATCGAAGGAGACAGATCATGTGCAAAATTGAGTGAAGCTACACCCTTCAATGTTGCTACAGTTAGTATATAAAATGAAGGAATTTACTTCCATTTAAATATTGAATGATAAATTTTTCCCAAACTAATGAAACATAGTTTTTAGTTGACTTGTAAAAGCTATCTTGAAAAGTACGCAATATTCCCTTTCCATATTCAGTGTGATAATAGAAACTTGCTTTGAAGACTTTAAACTCAACTCATATTATGAAACATTTGAATGAATACTTGTCCACTAAGACATTTTATCTGTGCTTAAAAATTTCCATTATAAACTTCTCAATGGACCCCTGAACATGAATGATAAAATCTAAGTATATACACTCTAGGGCACAGTATTTCTGAAATAAGGCACGGATCCTGCTGATAAAAGTGCTTAAAAAATATGCTAAATTTGTAAAAAAAAAAAAAAAAAAAAAAAAAAAAAATGACTTTTTTCATCTCAAGGTCGTTCTTCCCCTTAACAGATTCTAACCAATCGAATTCGAAGCAAAAGGGATAACAAATAATCCATACATTACTGGGAGATGCTGTCAAAGTATAGCATGGTATGGTAACAATTTTTGAAGCCAAATCTCCATGCTGATCTAATAATTTTCCTAACTTTCTTCTCCTATTTTTAATTATTAAATTGTGTAACTTAATGATGTAACCAACATAATTAAAATATTAATTTATGAGCATATTAATTCTTTGTAATATTTTTATTGTAATATTATGAACAAAATATTTTCTGTAAAAAATCAGTCTTAGTGTTGGCTACGTAACCAATATTACTTTTCGATGATCTCGTAAAAAGTAACATGATTTCAGATTCTGCAATTTGTTTTTTTTTAAATTATAAATGAAAAAAGGGAACCACAAAGCGGAGAATCCTTTCAAAAGAGAGAATATATTTTTACAAAAGTGGGGAGGTAAAAAACTTTATTTTGATATCGATTTTAGTATACTCAGTGCTAGCTTAATATAAGCTGATGTTACGGAGATTTCAACAACCTCGTTTTAAGTCAGCACTTCAAAAATTCTATGGTTGTTATAATGACCTTGTTTGCAAATACAACCTATTATTGGACCGTATTTCGAATGACGTATTTCATAAATTGTTAGACTATTGTTTACGATTTTCGATGATCTCGTAAAAAGTAACATGATTTCAGATTCTGCAATTTGTTTTTTTTTAAATTATAAATGAAAAAAGGGAACCGCAAAGCGGAGAATCCTTTCAAAAGAGAGAATATTTTTTTACAAAAGTGGGGAGGTAAAAATCTTTATTTTGATATCGATTTTAGTATACTCAGTGCTAGCTTAATATAAGCTGATGTTACGGAGATTTCAACAACCTCGTTTTAAGTCAGCACTTCAAAAATTCTATGGTTGTTATAATGACCTTGTTTGCAAATACAACCTATTATTGGACCGTATTTCGAATGACGTATTTCATAAATTGTTAGACTATTGTTTACGATTTATTTACAATTATAAAATTCAATAATATACTAAATTTGACTTCGGATTATTCAATCTACCTGATCAATACATGGGGCTCACGGCGGGTGTGATCGGTCGACAGGGGGTGCTTACCTCTTCCTAATTATAAGCCTCGTCCCACCTCTTGGAATTTCCAGAAATCCATACTTTATAAATTATACCCTATTCACATATTTGTTTTGCAATTGTTTGCAGGTTTTTTGAAATCGATCAATTTTCGTTTTCTTCACCTCTTTCATCGAGCAGTTTCATTTTTTGGATACATACACTGTAATGAATATATGCTATGATTAAAACTGACTGGAAGAAAATTAACATGCTGTAAGTACTTGAGTTAGAAATTTACAATTCCAAGGAACTTTTGGAAGATCTGAAATCACAAAATTTTACCAAAATCAGTAACATAAAAACTTACGACTTTTCAACTCTGTATACAACCATTCCCCAGGATAAATTAAAGTCCAGTCCAAGCCTTTTGACATTATTGACAGCTGTTTTTTCAATAAAAATGGACTCGTAAATTTACTTACCTTGTCATTGGTGATTTGCAAAATTATTTTCTTAAAAAAACATTCTGATTGTACACACAAGTTCTCTGAAATTGATATTAAAAGAGATGCTCGAGTTTCTGATTGACAATATCCATGTGGTTTCTGGAAACCAGGTCTTCCAGCAATCTGTTGGAATTCCCATGGATACCAATTGCGCCCCGTTGCTAGCAGACCTATTTTGTGTTCATATGAAGCAGAATTTATTTAAAATCTTATACATGAAAAAAGAAATCTTTTGCTGTGGCCTTCAACTCGACATTTAGATATATCGACGACGTATTATCAATTAAGGAGGCTGGAGGGTCAACAAATAACCACAAATTAACCACTAGATTTAACTTAGTTAATTTTTTTAGATATAATATCTTAAGTTGTCAACTATCATTTGGCAAAGAAAAATTTCAAAAATTTTAGTTTTAAAATTTGATCATTTTCTATATCTTCATATGGAGCTCTTCTGCTAAAGGAGATCAATATAGTCTAAAAATGGCCACAACCCCCCAGCCTCTTTAAGAATAGTCATTTCCATTCATGTGTCGACACGATATATCCCGGTGAGCTTGAGATAAAAGATACCACAGTCTGACACATCTGTTTCATATTTGGATATTTTACTAGAAAAATACGTCCATGGTAATCTAACAACAAAGCTTTATGATAAACGTGACGACTTTAACTTTTCAATCGTCAGCTTCCCTTACTTATGCAACAATATACCTTTATCAACTGCATATGGGGTGTATATCTCTCAGTTGATTCGATACGCAAGAGCATGCTCGACATATGAACATTTTCTAAAACAAGGTAAGTTACTGACAAACAAGTCGATGAAACAAGAATATCAACACTCTCGTTTCGTAATCATTTCGTAAGTTCTATGGTCGATACAATGACCTTGTCAGCAAATACAATCTATCAGTGCTGACTGACGTTTTTTCATACTAATTGTTAGGTCATTATTTACACACTGAATTGTCGATTGATTTTTCCGTCATAACAAGGCGCGCACAACGGGTATGACTGATAGGCAGGGGTTGCTCAACTCCTCCATAAAACCTGATCCCACCTCTGTTTTTGGAGGTCCGTGTTTGCTCTGATCCTGATTTGTATTGTTTTAATGGACTTTGAGCTTGAATACTGTTCGTAATCTCCATATTTCATTACACTGACAATAAACTAAACAAGTAAAGGGCTCCGATATTTCGTTAGATAAATAGATCCTTGAATATATGGGATAGATAATAAACTTCGAGTCAATAACTCCGTATAACGCTGACCTTTGAGAATATTTTGGGACATTCCTTATTAATGATTAAATATATTTTTTATGGTATTATAATATACTTTCAGAATAATAATTCAATATAATTGGTAAAACCACCGTCTTTCAGACAGAAGTATTTTTAGGGCACAGATGATTCCCCAGCCTATCTTCCATATTGGTCGGTATTAAAATTTAAGTTGTTTTTATAAGTTGCCCAAAGAAAAGATGTTCTGCTACCGATACGCCACTGTGTCAATATATTCACGAACATCGATTGTGTATTTTCTACATAAAATATAGAGAAAACGAACAGTAATTAAGCTCAAAAATCCATTGAAACAATACAAATCGGGAGCAGAGCAAACACGGGCCTCTAAAAAGGATCAGAGGTGGGATCAGGTGTCATGGAGATTAAGCATTCCCTGACGACTGGTCACACCCATCGTGTGCTTATTGTCATGATCGGACAAACGGAAAATCCGTAGACAATTCAGTGTTTAAATAATAAGTATGAAAAACGTCAGTCAGCATCCGACTTAAGGATAGTTTTATTTGCCAACAAGCTCATTGTATCGACAATGGAACTTGCGAAAGGATGAATTCAAACGAGACTGTTGATATCACTTTTTCATCAACTTGTTTGTCAATAGCTTGCCTCTTAAGAATTTTTTGTACGTGGAGCATGCTCTTCGCAGCTAGGCTAAGGACGCCCATGAAATATACGCCTTAATATATTGAGAGAAAATGAATACAATTTTAAATTTTTTTAACAGC